TTTTCCTTCCATTTAGAAATGTTTTGCAAGAGTGTCTTCTCTTGCCTATCTGACCACATAAGTCTCATTTTACATATTTCCTTTGCAAGGAGTGTAACCAAGTGTAGTGTTGGGTTTGGGAGTGTGATGGGAGCATCTGCAGCAATGTCAATGAGGCCATCAATTTGATTACAGAAAGTACCAAAATATCCAGTCCCTCTAGAAAACAGAAAAACAAGCAGCTCTCAATATGAAAGTTACACATGGCAAGAATGAAGTCACCAAAACAAAAGGAGAAAAAAAGGAGGGGGCTACACCTGGATTACACCTGGGCCAACTCCATTGCACCAATTCTACAGCAACAACATTAGCACTAAAGTACCCATTCATTGTGACCCAAGTGGAGGTGAAACTTAGGCCGTGGTGAAGGACAATTGGGTACTTGGATTTGCAAGAAAAAGAGAGACCTGAACTGCAGGACATGGAGCAAGTCTCATTCCATTCCACTCCTTCTGGGGGACGTGGGGGCCCAGAAGGGAGCAAAAAAGGTGTTGGGGATAATATGGAGTACCATTGTGTAGAATGGAAAGAGAGGGTGTGCCAGAAAGAAAGTTGCCCCAGCAAATAGAAGGCACAGAAAGAAAGCAGGTTCGGGAAGCCCTAATTAAAGGGCCAGGCAGAGATTTGGGTAGATTGGCTCCCCACTGGAATTCTGACATGGCTGCAGAAGGTATTTGATCCTGCTGGATACTCCACTTCCACCCTTCATATTCTATCCTATTCTATGATATATATATATATGTATATGTATATATAGTCACCTTGGGGCATGTCCTGCACTGCACTGGAATGGTTTGTGCCAACCAAACCGAATTAAATATAAAACAAACAGAATTGGTGAGATTTTCTCCAGCAGCATCCCTTTTCCTATCCATCCCCACAAATCTATTAATTGAGATTTCCCAGGAGTGGAACAAGGCTTCCACATCCAGGCTCACAAAAAGCTTGTTGGCACTGTCAGAGGACAATGGATGGATGGATGTACATGTGGATGAAGTAATTTTATCTATTTGAAAAGCTGGGAATTTTGATGGATGCTCTTCTCTCCGCCATTGTTTAGTTTTAGTTTATTTTTATCATTTTTTAAACTTTTTGCAAGTTGTTAAGGAGTTTTTAAGTCCTAGAAGCCTATTCAAAAGTTATGGTTATGGTTAAAAAGTCTAATGAAGTTTTTTTTGCTTGGTGATAAGAAGGAATTGTTTTTGGAGATAATATAAATTAAAAATAGATATTTACAATAAAAAAATATTATGATTTTAAAAAAAGTGGTTCATGGTTTGATTTTTGTTAAACATCTCGTAAAAACCACATTGTGAAGTAGAATCAACACAAATTTTATGGAACAACATTATTCATGTAATATATTAAATAAAAATCAACAAGGACAGATTTCTCAATTTCAATCAATTACAAAACTTCAGATTCTACATATATATATATATATATATATATACATAATAAAAAAATAAAACTCCTAATAAACATCTAAATAATTTGTAAACGAATACACAAAATGACACCACTATCTACTCCCAACAAATACAATAAATGAAGTGTGTGTGGCTGAGCCATGTTCCATGCCCCAAGTGCAGGGTGAGTAGGGCTGACTTGGGGGAGTGCCATGCTGCTGCTGCTGCTGCTGCCTTCTTCTACTGCTGAAGTCATCATCAAAGCAAACTCATGTGCTAGGACTTTTGCAGTAACCTTGGAATCAGAGCTATAGGATAAATTAAAAAATGGAAAAAAAATACTAATTTAAAGAAGAAAAAAGTGTTTCTGTGTGTGTGAGTTGGGGGGGGGTCATCAAAGTGCAGTCATTCTCTATCTTCTTTCCTGCCACAACTTGTGCTGGTCACAAGCTCCCCAGGGTATAGAAATCTAACCAGCCTCTCATGAGCCACAGTCAAGTGTCTGTGCTGCAAAACTGTGGTGCCTGGGCCCCCTTTCTCTCTCCCCTGTGTCACCTTGTGCCACCCATCACCTCACCTTTCAACTCTGCCAGCCAACTGTGGACAGTATTAGCAACTCCTCCTCTTCCCTAACCTTCTTCTATTCACATCCATGGAGGTCCAGTGCCAGGCAATGGATTTTCCTTTGGGCCAGCCATCTACCTGAGTAGCCATTCTCAAATTAGGGTTTAGGAGTGTGGATTATCACATACTACACCATTCAAATAGGCTGCACTACTTCACATACCTAGAGTTGACCATCTCCATAATGTCCAATGTCAACACCCATATTTCAACTCATTCTCAATCTCCTTGTCTGTCTGTCAATCAGTTTCTGGACATTCATAGAGGACTCCACATTCTACAATTACAATGATAATATTCTTGGACTCACTTATATCTCCTCTATGTGAATATATATATATATATATATACTTTACAATTGGTTGCATGGAGATGAGTGATTCTTTGAATTCCTCTTATGAAAGATGCACCACACATTCTGCTTTGAGGACACTTTTTACATCTTTTCTTTCTTCCTTGTTTATTTGCATGTCATGAGCCACATGATTGAAATTAAATGGAAAGCTGTTGTATTTTTAGAGCATGATTCCAAAGAGTTTCAAATAATTGACTCATTTCAAATCAATTATAGGTACTTTTTAATTTTTTTAATTTTTTTTAATTTTTATCTATTCCTAAAAATTATCACATTAGGGGGTTCAAAGTTGGCACTTTTGAAAAACCCAATGAATGTGATTCAAAACTTGATATTTCCAGAATCACTCAAAATATTAAATCCAAAATATCACAGGTCAAATTTTATTACCCCTAATATTAATATTGCCCCCTGATTTAAACTTTATTATCCTTGGTATGGAGTCAAAGAGGGAAGAGAGCAAAGGTGAGCAACATAGTTTTTGATATTTTACCCTCCCCTCTATTGATATTTGGATTTCAAAATCACATACCTCGCAAGGTGGGTGATTTGGTGAAGTATTATATGATATTTTAAAATATCACTGGATACTTTGAGATCTCATCATGGGTGAAATATCACCCAAAAAGGCCATGTTTGAACCCCTTATTGTTGCATGGCATACATCCCATTACTATGACTATTATAGAGCCCAATTATTTACTTCATTATTTTTGAATGCTGCATTCATAGAATTATGGTAAGAACAATATGATTGTTGGAAATTGTAACAAATATGTTGCATTTTGATCATGCCATAAAAGATGCAACAATAGAAAAAAGTTAGTTTTGATTTAGAAGTTGAAATTTTCAAACACATGTCTACAAGGGTAATTTTAAAATTATTATTTAATGAATGGTATTGTTTGCTGGTGATGTATATAACTATACACAAGTACATGCACATACAATTCTGATTAATCAATGCCAACAATAGGATGATGTGGCAGATAGTTTTGCCTGGGCATTGAAAAAAATTCTGTAGAATGCACAATAGTCAATGAGCTTCCACACCTTCAAACATTTTATTGCTTGGTTTGCAGCAGAGCTTGTCCCTGCTTTGTCTCCCCAGTTGAGTGGCATTGCCAACAAAGCAATCCTTCTCTAACTCAGTCAACAATGAGCTTGACTTGGTTTGTTTGCATGGCATGTCTCTCCCATTATGACTACATTAGCTGTCCACAAGAAAACAAATGGAATAAAATTATGTGTGTGGACTCTTGAGCTTGAAGAACAGCAGGGTTGTGATCAGACCAACATATGTCTAAATTCAATGGTGGTGCTGGATCTCAAATCTGATTGTCAGCCTTCATGGGCAGTGATCAGTTTTATTTTTATTTCTATTTCTATTCTTTATTATTACTTTTCAAGATCTTTATTAATGTAGAATTGTATTAGAGGCTTGATTGTTATTAATATCATCAAATTCCTTTCCTCTTTAACGTTTTTATCTTTTCAGAAAGAAAAGAAGCCAGCCACACACACACTCTGTATTCTAAGCCCTAACCTGGATCACAGAAGCCATGATTCAAATCTATGTTGACTGGTTCTATCATGTGCTGCGAAGCTAAAGCATTTCGAAAAATCAGATGAAGATGCGAAGAAATTACAAGCTGAATTACTTCAAATTATGCACATACACACACACACACTCTTCGAACCATATGGAGGAGGAGCAAGTCTCGAAGGATCCTGAAGGACTTCGCTAGCAGTTCCAACTAACAACACACTATCGTTTGGACCACCAAAAAGAAGCTGAAGCTTAATCTTGTGCCCCACATTACAAGCAAAAGGTTGCAACAATTCAGTAAGAACATGCTGCAATGCAAGTGCACAGGTTTCCGACTTTGCACCATTGCACTATCCCTTTCAGTGATCTCAATACACTCTTCAAAACATGCCTCAAATCAACCCCGAAGGACTCTCTCATACACATACACACACAAACTAGAACACAGATACAATGGCTTTTTAAAACAAAAAACGTGGCCAAGAGATAATGTTGTTTTACAAGAAAGTCATTGAGTAAAAATAAGGTATAGTTAACTTCGATAATGCGGTGGCAAAGATTGAGTTGTAAGAATCAAAGCAGAAGATCCTTAATGTTTGAACGACAAAGCAGTACGAACGATTGAAAGGAACTGCTGGCGCTTGAATGGCAAGAGAGTACGTTGTAAAAAATGCACAGAACCTGGCTGTCCTGATCAAGCTTCTGAAACAAGCTAATTGAATTGCAATTCGATCGAGCAGCAGAGACTTGCCGATAATTCCGGACCAATCCCTTGGTTTTCACGAACCTCTGCCACAGATTTCACCCGTCTGCTTATGCTGGCGGCTTTCGTCAATGATCGGATTGTGCGTCTGACTTTCCAAAGTGGATTGTATTTTTCTTGATCCACATAGAATTAAAAAAAGAATAAAGAAATGATGTGAATCTAAATGCCTAACAACTAATTGTCCCTAGAGTTCAAGCGACATTCATATAAATAGTGCCCCAGTCCATCCTTTCCATCATCCTTCTCATTTGGCTTGCGGCTTCTCCTGTGCCTGTTCAGTTGCTCTCGCTAGAACTGTATTAGTTTTATTTTTTTGTGAATCAGCGTGTTGGTCTTTTTCCCTCATTCCAATGTGTAGCCCTCCATCATGGTTGCATGGCTTGGACTGAGGGCGGTCCTCGCTAGGATGAGATAGAGTGAGTCAATGCCCCTCTCTTCAATGTGCTGGATTTATTTTGCTCGGTAATCATATCGCCCAGTGACATTTGGTGGGCAATGTGAATCACTTCCAACAACTTCGTTGAAGTTAGCTCCGATCAGTTCTCGTCGTGATCCAACCCTTCAAGTGACTGGAAAAGAGATGTTTCCTATCACTGAGATCAGATTCAGTTCATGCTCTCATTGACCATGACAAGCAATGGAGCTTCGACAAGGGTGTTTGACTCTACTACCCGTGAACCCCATCAGATGGAGATATGTGGTTGTAGAGTCATGCACCTCTGCCGAGGCTCCTGCTTTTTACTCCTTTTTTCCAACCTCATGTTTCTAGGTTGTTAGTTGATGGTCTAGACCAATGTGAGATCAACACTTGCTTCCCTTCGTACTATTCACAAGTGAGAACTGTGTGCTTGTACGCATGACTCACCGATAGTCATTGCAAATCAGACAAGCCTCGTTCAGCAGGGTGCTTCAGCAAGGGTGCTTGATTCTACTACCCGTCGACCCATTAGAGGAGCGACGCGGTTGTAGAGTCACGCACCTCTGTTGAGCACCCTGCTCGGAGTAAAGATATGGCTAAAGTCCGTGTCCCGGGTAAGAAGTTGCGCAGATGGTGATCGATTTTGGATGTTCCAAAGTGGGAGCCATGCTAGAAACAGCACGAGTCACAGTAAAGGTTCATGGGCTTCACTGTCCGACGCACTCTGATTGCCCTTCATTTGTCGTGGCATTGGGTTTTACAACTTCTGGTGCCATCCCACTCTAACGCAAGCCCCATGGGTGCACTTATTCTTCAAAGTTCTGCTACCAGAGGTACAATCAGATGCACCAGAGGTTGGTTCACACTGCACTATGAAACGACAGGTTGCTTTTCAATTCAGTCCATATCTTCCACTCTTTTAGTTCGAAATGTTCAATCTTCGACAAATGATATGATCTGATCAATCTGGGTTGCCATTCAGAAGTTTCATTGACGGAGAGAGATGGAGATAGGTGAATCGAACGACGGCACGAGATTGACCTCAACGTTGTCACTAGCAGACTAAGTTGGCGTTGATTCTTAAGGCTGGAGGGCAAACAATTGTGTACTCTCTTGTCCACTCTAGACAGATGGGAAGTGTAGTGCGGAGGATATGAGCACTTGGGATGAGTATTTACAAACTCAATAACTCCTTAACTAAAACAGATTTTTTTTTTTTTTTTTTTTTTTTTTTTTCTCCTTTTTGTATCTTCCTTTTCTACTGAATCATTGCAACACTCCAACGAAACTGGTTAGGTACATATCCATGTATCAATTCATAAGGATTAAACCCGGGGTGGTATTATGAAATTAGTCTAATACTTCTAATCGCATTTGATCCCCAACTCTATATTTGCAATACAGACTTATTCATCACTTATATATATATATATATATATATATAGAGTTACAACTCAACGCACATTGTCAGTTTTGAGCATATTAGCTACGAGCATAGTGGACCTGCAAAGAACCCAGTTCATAAATCTGAATTAGTGAAAAGACCTGGTCTTCTAGCAATCCACAATTATAGTAAAATATTGTTTAGAGCAAGATTACTGCCAGCAGTAGCAAATTTCGAACTGGGGTTCAGAACAGTCTTGTACAAATCTTTTGGTGCCCACACCTTTTGGGTTTGATATGACATACTCACAACACTGGCAATGTTTATTCGGTGTACTATGGTGTTTATCAGTTGCTAGTTGGGCTTTTTATGAATCATAGGGTTGGTGTGGGCACCAAAAGTTTCTTTCATTTGCAAATTTGTTATCTTCTGGAGTTCCATGTTTCATAATATTGGAACGCTGAAAAATTGTTCTTTTTTTGTAAATTGTTCATCATGTTACACATCCTGTTCCAAATTTTCAGTATCATTCTTGCTATTTTGCATCTCAGTATCTGTAAAAGAGCATGGTTAACAAATTTACGCTTGTGTTTTATGACATCAATCATATTGTGAGTAATCGTACATTTAAAATTATTTTGGAAAAATCGCACATCTGTGGTTTAAATGTATGCACAAAGATACATTCTTCTAAAAAGATCTTTTAAAATTATATTACATTCTTCATATTTATTTAGATATACTTGAAAAATTAGTAAGATAGTTTAGTTTCTGTAATTTGATCAAAATCATATTTGATGACAATAAAACTTTCAATATTCTGTAGGAGTTTTCAAATACACCTCACCAATTTGCGTGTGCTTTATTATTAATTTAAAGAATACTTATAAGAGGTATAAAACTCTGAGATTACTTCTTTTTTTATTTTTCAGTATTATATCTATTATAAAAATCAATTATACGGTTTAATACATGAAGATTTAACTTTCTGAGTGATAATTGTATGAAATTTTTATTTGATTCATCAAAGAAATGAAAACATGTGGAACGTTTGATGTCTTCAGTAAATTAACAAGTAAATTAACAGTAATTCACGAACTAAGGGGTTTTGTATGCACTAACAACAAAACATTTATTTATTTATTTATTTTCCTTCTTCTTCTTCTTCTTAACTGCTTTAAATTATAAATATCATCAGCATTTGATTTTTCTATTTTTACATAATTTATACTAATTATCTCCCTGTACCCATAATCGAATTATGGTAAAATTGATTTATGAATTCAAAAAATATTTACAAATTATCCAAAAATAATTTTGATACAGTATTAATTTCTACAGTCATATTTTTAAAACTAAAAAACACTTTTTAATCTTTTATCACATTGTGATGTAAATCATTTAATTTAACAATTCTTGTTTCAACTTTTTTAAAAAACCTTTAATAATTTCATATATTTTTAATAAAAACTAGTTTGAAGAGTGTTTGTATTTTAAAACGTTGATTTCATAATTATTTTCGTGAAAAATCAAGAAATTACAATCTAATTTATTTAGCATTAAACCATTACAATCAATTATAATCTGGAATAAAAATTGTATGTTTGACTTATTGAGAAAATATACATACACTTTTTATATGTGTTTAATATAGTCGATGATATTAAAATAAAAAATAATAACTAAATTTCTATCTTTTAAATTTAAATTATTTATAGAAATAATCCATTATATTGTTTTCAATTATTAATCAATTTATATTGTTTTCAATTATTACCATATTACTTTTAAAATTTTTTTCTCTTTTCTTAGCTCAATTAATTTGATTTAATAAAAAAAATTAAGAAACTGAAAATATCATAATTGAATTTTTAAATAATAATTACTAAAGCCTATATTTAATTTTTATATAATAATAAAAATATTCATATATGTATACTTATAAGTTTATAAGTATATATATATTATATCAAAAAATATTTAATATTTTATTAATTAATTTATTTTATTATAATAATAAATCTTAAAGACAACATCAATATTATTATTTCTTCAGTTTGATTTTTAAACAAATAATAGTCTATTCTTTGTATATTGTGCAATAGTAACTTAGGCTTCCATAATATAAATTTTAGATTATATCTACCATTACTAATAGTTTAATTTCTTAATAATAAACTAAGTATCTTTGTTTAATAAGTTTTTTATTTATTTTTAGATATAGAGTAGTGTTTTTTTTTTTTTTTTTTTTTTTTTTTTTTTTTTTATATCAAGCCACATTTTACTTGTATTATAAAAAATCCAATCTTATGTAGATTTTAAGAGGTAAGAAAAAGTTTGAATTTTCTTAAGATCCATCATAAGTCTATCATTTAAAATGACATATTCTAAGAAGTTAAATTGAATAGTGTAAAATACATATATATATATATATATATTTTATCTTAGCATAGAGTCCCACATCTCTTAGTTTTTGGAATACACAACAAACATAAAATTCATATTCTTATGTGCTCTTAGAATAGATTAAAATATCGTCTAGATAACAAACAACAAAATCATCCAATAATTCTTGAAAGACATCATTTATTAGATGTTGAAAAGCTATTGGTGCATTTGTAAGTCCAAAAGGCATAATAATATATTCAAAATATCTGTATTTAGTTCAAAATACAAACTTCCATTCATTATGTTCTTTGATGTATATCAAATTATATATTTGTTGTAGATCTATTTTTGTATAGATCTTAGCTTGATTCAACTATTCAAAAAGTTTAAATATCACAAGTAGCAATGTCATATTACATATTGTCTTCTTTGAGAATACACTGGGCACTTGATTGTAGAAGATGAAGTCTTGTTTTATAAATATTCAAGAAACCCTAATAGATTTCATCTATATAAAAAAAATGTAATTCAAATTTTAATTAAAAAGTACTTAAAGAAAATACAAAGCATTCAAAAATACTCCTTTTAGTAATCTCAATCATATAAAAATTCTACTTGCTTTATTTCTTTTATAATTAGGTAATTTCAATTTCTTTTTGTAAGCCTAAATCATAGTCAATGAGCTTTAATGAGTTGTAATTCTTGATTTGATTTTCTATTTGATACAAAATTTTACACAAAAATGCTATTATAAGTCTTTTATATATTCAAAAATTATTAATCCAATCTAAATTACAAAATAAAAAAAAACGTCCAAAAAATTGTATAAATATTACTTGGCTAAAAACTTGAAAGTTGATATAAATGTTTCAATAGCAATTTTTTCTTCTTTAACTATTAACTTCAGCTCTAAATTAGTATGTAGCTTGATCTTCAAGTCTTCTATTACCATGCCAAATTTTACATTGTTCTAATGAGTAAATCTTCAAATATCATAGAAATCCTATTCAATTCTAAACTGATAACTTTTGATATCCTATTTGATCAAAAACCAAATATTTTCACACCACATTATTAGATTAATATAAAATTTTATTTATACTTAACACACTTATTTAACTAAGTATGTAAAATTTTGAACTATAGAAGTGACATCAATTGCATGAACTATCTAAGAGCACTAGCCCTAATTGTATTACATAAATCCAAAGTCACTAATATATACTTTGATTTTGAACAATAAATATAAAGTCATCCCAAATCTTATGAAAATAAGTCTTATGCTTTTGAAACAAGCTTAAAGCTAAATATCCAATCCTAATTGTTGATCTCCAAATACCGCCATATTTTATTCTAAGAAGTTGTTTCAGTAGCTAGAGATCTAATTTCGACCTTGTCCTACCAATAGTCGATTCTTAGATATCAATTTAACTTATCATAGAGATTTTTTAGTCTAATATTATCTTCAAATTAATCTTAGTACCAACCATACTAGTTATTTATTTTTTATATTCTATTTTATTAATTTATGGTCTTTTTAACACAATAAAAAAAAATTTATAACATAGAAGATAAAATTACTAATAAAACTTTAATCTACTAGCTATTAAAACAAAAAGATAAACTAAAGGATTTTTATAAAAGCCACGTTTAAATATATTGAATTATTATTGAACTAAGATGATTAAATATTAATTAAAATTTTATTTTTGATTATATTTTTAATATATATTTTTGTTACAATACAACAATGAACACCTATTTTTGATGGTGATCTTATTGATTCTTCAACAATCAATATACATCCGTAATGATCCATCTTTTTTCTTTACAAATAAAATTGGAACTCAAGTAGGAGATTTGGAATGGCATATGGAGTTCTTGGTTAGATTTTTCTTAATATACTCTTTGAATTTAGCCACTTCATTTTGTGATTGGTCCAAATGGTAGTTGAGCTCCATTTTGAGGATCAATTGAATAGTCATAGGAATGATGTTTTAGAAGAGTATTTACATTCTTCTTCTCAAATACATCTTAAAAATCTCAATATTAGCTAGGAATTCCATTTGAAGTCTTTTCACCATTAAAAAAAAGTGTGGCATAAATGACATAAGATAATCCTTCTTTTTTAGGATGCAAGAAAGCTCTTACACCTACAAATATAGATTTGGTTATATTAGACTTATGACTTTTTATCTAATTAATTATATTTTTAATTATACTTTCAAAAAATTAAAACTATAAGAAATCTAATCTATTCAAGGATTTTATTTTTTAAATCACAATGAATCTAAAAAGACTAGATTAGAAAGAAATTTAATGATATTAAATACTACAAAACTACTATGACCATTAGTTACTACTTTTATAAGAAATATTTCATAAATAATGTTTCCAAAGGACGACAATCAATTATCTATGACTTCTATATGAACACATTTTATTTTCTTTATTAAAGCTTTCTTATATCTTTTAATAAACCCTTTATCTAAAAAACAAACTAAGGCTTCTGAATCTAATAAGGCAAAGGCTTTGTGATGTTTAGATCCTAAATTAATATATATTGTAAAACAAGAAGAGGATTTTGAGGAGAGAGTAAGACCTTCATTAGATATTGTATTAGGTTTCGACCACACAATGTCTATTATAGATAAAGAAACTTATTATCAAATAAATTTTCTTCTTTGATAGTCGTGCTTTTGATTTTATGATTGCATTGCTTCTTTGAAGAATATTGAGCAATGTGCTTTGATTCTTCTTAATTTAAAGAAAATATTTTTTTAATGACAATGAGTTTTTTTTTGCTCAATGAGAGGTTTAAAATGTACCACATCAATTTGCATATCCTCTACTTTTGAAGATATGTATTGAAAAGACATTAATATTGCTATTGAATTGTAATAACGTCGAGACCTACTTATGT